TGTTTATATATTATTATATAATTTTATACAATTTAATATAATTTATTATAATTTAATAAAATAAATTTAAATTTTTACATTTTTATATAAAATACTTTAATATCTTTAATCCCAGAGCATAGCCCGGGCTAATACGCTAGTATTTAATATATTGTAATATTATATATAAAAAATAGTATTTATTTTATAATATATATCTAATGTTATATAAATTAAATAAAAAAATGATATACACTTATAAAAAAACAATAAAAATAATACTTTATTCTAATAATAGGTAAAAATTATTTGAAAAATAATTAAATTAATAATTAATAATTATAAAATTATTTTTCTAATATAATTTTTTTTTTAAAAAAAAATATTTTACAAAAATTTTTAAAATTTTTTATTGTATTAGAAATTAAAATAATATAATTAATTATAAATAATAAAAAATAAATATAATAACACTTATAAAATACTTATAATTTTAATTTTATTTAAAAATTTTAAATAAAATAAATAAGAATATATATATATATATAAATATATTCGTATAATTTTATCTTTTTATCTTTTTTTATCTTATTTTTCTTTAAAATATATATATATATACTATATATTATCTTTATCAATAAGAAAGCAATATATTATTTATATAAACTATATTTATAAGTTTATATTATTAACAAATAAATTGAATTAATTAAATTTATATAGAAGCAATTATTTTCTTAATTATATTGATTCAATATAATTCAATAAACAAATAATACTAATTTGTTTATAAGATTTTATTTTTAAAAAATACATAAAACAATATTTATATAATAAATATTTTAATAAATAAATTTTGTTTAGAATCAATCTTATTATTATTTAAAAATTTACTGTTTATATTATTTTGAATAAAATTAATTAAATATAAACTTTAATGCTAAGATTATTCTTTGTTTACTTATAAACTTTAAATATTATTTTTTAAATTGATAGAAAATATAATAGTAAGTAACTTTGCTTATACCTCCAGCTCATTATCTTCTAAATCCATGAAGTTTATCTAGAAGCAAGTGAAATTTTTATATTAAAACTTTGAATTTTGACTCAATGAAAAGAATCTACATTAATTTTAAAATTCAAAGTTTTAATATGAAAATTTCACTTGCTTTTAGATAAACTTCATGGGTTTAGAAGATATGAGTAAAGTTATTCACTATCATATTTTCTATAAAATTTGAAAAATAATATTTAAAGTTTATAAGTAAACAAAGAATAATTTTAACTTCAAAATTTAGATTAAATTATTAAGTAAATTTTATTATAACAAAAATTTACCTAATAAATTTGAGTAAAAACTTAACTAATAATAAACTTAGCATTATAAAATCTCAAACAAATTATCCAATACATCTTATCATTGACATTTGAATTTACTTCTAGAATATTATGGTATTATCCAATAAAACCCATATTTTTTTTGGAATAGATACAGGTCAGAAAACCCGACCAGATTCGTTCATAGAACATGATTACATATCTATATATAAAGATGAAACTTGTTGGCAGTTCATCGGAAATGGAACTTATAGAATTTAATACCCAAATACTAATTATTAAAGTCAAATTTGTTTCGCTTACAATGTTAGTGAAGAATACAATGTCTCACTGGCTTCGTACGGAAAATAAAAAAAAACTCTAGCGGTGTTGAAGGCTATTAAGTGATGTAAAAAAGTTTTATAAACTGCCTTGGATCACAGTATAAAGAAATTCTGTGATTTTCCCTTTTTAACGCGGTATTCGATCGTCTACTTCACCTGCGTTTGCATATATCCCGATGGATCACTTTAGGTATATTACATATTATAAAGTATTGTTAGAGATAGGATCTTATATACTTTTAAAATACAAAAATAACTTATAAGGTACCCAAAATTTAAAGCCTTCTCAATATCTAGTTCTAATTAATGAAGGTTTCCAGTCGATAGGATGCGTTTCGGGAGTCTAAAAATCAATTAATAACGAATTAGAAAATTTCAAATGCAAAAAAAAGAAAGCGATCAATAAACATTTACAGCATTGGGATCTTCTCTCCAAATTTTTATGGTCTTATCGGCTTCACAAGTTATCAACCTCAAGCCTGAACGATCAAATGTGCAAGCAAATATTCCAGCTTCAGATTCTAATGAACCAGGTTGTACAGTCGTTTCCATTGACTGAAATTTATATCCTGATTTCCAATCCCAAAATGCCATCGAACCATTATCAGCTAAAATGTGACAAAATAGATCATTAATATTTTCATGAGTAGAACCTAAGCTTAATATAGATGAAAATATTACCTCCAGAGAATAGAACATTGTCGGCATTAATAGCCAATGCATTTATAATGGCACGGTGTCCCTCAAAGTTTTGCATAAAGGTTCCTTCGGGGCATTTCCATTGTTTAATATTATCAGCACTACCACTAGCAAAAGTAAATTCTGATGGATGCAATGCCAATGCTCTGACAGACTTTTTGTGATGCGTAAGTGTAGTCAGCGTTTTACCAGCAGCAAGATCCCAAAGTCTAATTGTAGAATCCATTGAACCCGTAAGGACTTGAGGATCAGCTTCCTGGCATTTTACATCAGCTACAGTAGTGTTATGACCGCTAAGAACATGAATACATTGTTTGGTTCTCATGTCCCACATCTATAAAAAGTAATAATATTAAATCAGATAATGAATATAAAATAATAAGGTTAACTTGAGATTACTCTACACACTCTTGCAGTAGCATCCCTTCCAGCGGTAGCCAAAACATCCAAGGTAGGATGTAAACTTAAAGAATAAACACCTGATAAATGGCCATGATAATGTCGGATAACCTTATTTTGTTCAAGATCCCAACATTTAACCATTTTGTCTTCACCACACGAAAATAAATATGGATGACGCGGAGATACGGCAAGACCACGGACGGTGGAAATATGACCCGTAAGGGTGAGTTTTAAAGTACCTGACGCAAGGTCCCATATCTGAAAAATAAATATTAAAAATGATCGTAAGACCTAAATCATTAATGATAATCTATCAACATTTATTTCCCTTTACCTTAATAGTTCTATCACCAGCACCGGTTACAAACCATTTGTTCCCAGGCTCCACAGCAATAGAACGTACCCAACCTAAGTGTCCACTAATAACTCTCATCAATTTCCAAGGAGAATGCCATTCTGGTCGAGTAGCACGTGGTATTTGACGCCTTATCAGTGAACCAGATGTAGCTTCAGGTGTAGCGTTGATCCCGGCTCTTTGACGAATTGCAACTACACCATGTGAAGTTTTTGCGGCTTCTTGCCTATAGGTATTATTATACGAATTATCAATGTGTTTCTTCTAAATACATTCTAAAAAAACTTACTGAGCTCGAGAAGGGGGAAGGTTTTCTATTAATTTTTGTATGTTGTTATCTGATATTTGACCTTCCGTCGCATCGCTACTATTAAGCGTAACACCTAAAAAAAAAGAGTCAGATAAGCAATTTTAATTTAAGTAATAAAACTAGACGCGAACTTACCGGGTGTCATAGGGTAGGGATGTCCACCAGTAATTTGAGGAAGATGATCGTTATCAATTTGCATCTGTTCGGCATTTCCGTTTGTGTTATTAGGATCAATATCTCCTGGTGTCGGTGCAGTTCTTTTTTGTCCCGCACTTTGTTGGGCTAATAAAGCTTTTGGTAATTCTTTTACGTCGTCATATTCATCGTGAATTTTTATGCGTAACCTAATTTTTTGACTATAAAAAATAAAATCGTTAAAATTCAGCCTAAGAAACACATATGAACGTAAAGCTTGCAACAACCAACGGGGTGAATCACCGGAATTAAAAACCTTTCGTCATCTAAAAGCGAGCTTTCCGCAGTTCCAGATTGAAACATCGCTCTTGTACGTTTCGCCGATCTTTGCAGCAAAAACTCCATACTACTTGCAGAAAGATCGTTCTCAGTGCTAATCAAAGACATTTTGATATGATAAAATTCATCCAACACAATTGTGTCTATATATCTCTATAATCTAATCTTTTGATCGACGATAAAAAATTTCTATAAATAATCGTTTTTGCACATTTTGCTATCAAGGAAAAAAATGAGTGGTATATATGTCATATGGGCAGGACTTATCACAGGAGTTCTTGTCGCTATTTCTTATGTTATTGTTCCCAGAGGACAAAACCAAACGTATGCATTATTCGATTGTTTCAAGGAAACAAGATAAGGAAATTAACGTTGAGCTTTAGATCATTTAAAGCTAACCATATTATTTTTCACAAAAATAGGACGATACGAACTTCCCTTATCTTGACCTTCATTTGCTGTTACTTGATGTGAGTTGACCTTTTCTTTCGAATTCTCTTGTTCAAATACGTGAGATTGACTTTATTACTATTACTACTTTATTAGGTGGGCCATTACTTATTTAGCTCAACTTCATCCTTTAATAAATCCAAAACGCCGTGAAGAAACTTAAACGTACCGACAAAGAATCATATTTTTTATTTTTTAGTTGAATGTATGGAGTATATTCTATGGTTCTGACTTGTTTTATGTTGTAACCCTTAAATTTAATTCTAATTTATCTTATTTCGTTTTAAAGTGTATTGTTTAGATATATAATTTGAAGGAATTTGGCTTATGTTGGGATATAGATTTGAATTATGTACATTAGGTTATTATTACATTGCATTTTTGCAATTTGCTTCTGTTTCTTAGATTCTATTTTCGCAAACTTTTTACTGTGCAACACTTGGTGAGATCAATTTATTATCATACATTATCATTAAATGAATTTACTGCGTTTACATTCTTCCATCCTACTTTGAAGTCGTGTTTCAAATATTTTGAAGCTGTACAAGTTTTCGAAGAATACTCCAAAACATTCGGATTTAAATTATTTATTAGTTAAATGAATTTTTAAATGGTTTGTTTGCATTAAAAATTTTAAGATTTTTGCATATAACCATTTAATTATTTCTGTTTGGTATTGATGTTATCTTCTAATAGCCAAATGTTAAGAGTTTGATAGGTTTATTTTTAGTTGTTAAAAAGAATTATTTTTAATAAAGTTTATAACAATAAATTTGAATTTTTTAAGGTTTGCTTTGTATAAAAAATTTGTTATTTATATTGAGTTATTTTGCAAGGTAATTTGATTTTTTGTTTTAAAATATATGGATTATTTATGTTAAATTATTTATAATATTAATAAAAAGATTTTTTTTTGTCAAATTTGAAATTTGATTTACTGTATAAAATATTATTGTTTGTAACTATTTGAAAATTTTAAAAAAATATAAGTTATTTTTTATAAACTTATATATTTATTGGTTTTTTTGATATAAATAAAATTTTAATTAATATTAATTAATATTTATATTTATTTAATTGATTTTTTAACTTTTATTATTTAATAATATATATTTTTATTTTAATTAACTTATATAAATATTAAAAATGTTTAATTGTTCAAATAAATATATTTAAAGATAAAATATTATTATAACTTTTGTTTATTTATTCTTTTATTATTATTATTTTATTATTATTTTTTCTAAATTTTTGTTTTTTTTTTTATTTTTAATAATTATATTAATAATTTTTTTATTAATTGATTTTTTTTTAACTATTATATATTATAAGAAAGTAAAAAAAAATTATGTATTAAGAAACTTGAAATACTTTGGAATTTTTGGAATTTTTAAAATTTTCTTATATATATAAAAAATATATATATATTAAAAGAGAATAATTATAATAAAACAACTTTATATTCAATATTCATTAATATTTTTACTTATATTATCCCTTAAATTGTAACGCAGGCAAATTTGCCTGCATATTTAAAAATTTAATAAGTTTTTAAAAATTTTTAATAAA